GCGCAACAATAGGCTTGCATCAAAATAGCAAATCGTCGAAGACATGTGTGAATCGGATGATGTATATATTCAACGCGAAATTTTCACATTGACCACGATGTAAATTCGACGATTTATCGTCTCTATGACAGCTGTGAATTCTAATTTGCATTCTTTTCTTCTTTTAGGTTAGGTAATAAAATAGTTTACGAAACTGCCGCTGAATAACGGAGAAACGAAGAAAAAACTTCACTTATGCTTTTATCTAGTTTATGGATTCTTTTTTAGTCGATCGGAAACACGTTGCTGATTCAAGATATACGTAAAATATCGTTGAGACAGAATTCCTTTTTCAATCAATCGAGTCGTATTTTGTTTTATCGACCGTCGGTTGATTCGGTACCAATCGGTAACAAGTACTTCGTCATGTACATGCTTAAGCTAAGGAAAGCAATGATTAAATACGATAATTATCGAATATTGCGTTTCGATATCCAGGGCTCTCGCAATCCGGAAACGGTTCGATTTACGAGGCTTCGAAATCGAGGGGAAATTGTTCCAACTTTATTAAAGAGATCAATCGCCATAGAGAAATTTCACTGACAATTGCGGAGACAATTTTGCCCAGAACTCGGAAACGTTGCAAAACATTCGATCGAACTACATTTCTTCGAACTACGATTTGCATACACTTTCGAAGAAATGTCAGCGTGAATATATCTGGAGAAATGCGGGAAATGATGTGAATTTTATACTACGATCTAACAGGAAATGATCGAAAATACGTTTGTTTTATTAACGCAAGTAATGATTGGTTAAGAATTGGATAAGAATAATTTTTATACTTAATATATTCCAGAAGAATGAAATAACGAAATTTCGACTTTTATATATTACATATGCGCAAATAAAAAATTTGTACGAATCGAGTTTTTGAATTTGAAATATAAAAGAAAATTTCATCCACGAGCTCGGGTTGAACCTTGCTTAATGTAAATTGAAGAAAGAGAGAAAGTCTTAAGAACAGATCTTAGAAAATATTGCATGGAAATTATGCGACTAAAGTTATGTTTCACTTCCTCAATAAAATGGAGTCCAGTTGTAAACTGGAATTGCATTTTGTAACACGGAATAGTTTTATGTTACTTCGCGTTTTAAATTAAATTTCCTCTATTTTATATCGTTCTTGAAAAAGAAGACATATTCGTGCCACATCTCCATCGAGCACTTCTCATACATACTCATAGTTTCGTTTGAATATTGAAATCGTCTCCCAAGGTGTACCAGTTAAACCGAAATTATTATTTTCTCCGGTGAATATTCAAACAACAGTTTGCCGTAGAAGTCACGATGGATACAGTTTAGACGAATGGCGGGTTTCAAAGAGCTTTGTGTGCTCGGGATTCTCGAAGAGCTTTGTAGGTTTGCTCGACGGTTTGATCTGGCGAAAAAATTCGCATACCAAGCGAACGGCATAATTCATCCGCGGAGAAATTTTTACGTCACGATGTCTGTTCGGTGCAGGGTCGTAAATAATGCACGCCTATGCCAGTCGCGGACGAGGCCGACCGCCTGGCGTGCGACCGGATAGAACGCTGAATTACAATACTATAACCCTTTTAAGCGCTGGTGTCCATATTTGTGCAGGGTGGTTAAATATCGAAAAGTCGTTCCTGAGTCGGTTCGTTGTTAGCTTCTATATCGCGAAGGGATCGCGTCGATCTTGAATTTTATTGGTCAACTTGATTTATGAAAATAACTGGGGAAAAAAGAAAGAAAGAAAGAAAGAAAGAAAGAAAAAAAAACCAAATTATTTATTGCTCCAACTTATTATCGCTGTAAAGATTATAATTTTGAACGGGTATCGTTCGCGAATATCGCGCGTGAATGAACAATACGAACATTACGATGAATCATGAAATACGTGCGACTGAAAATGGAAAATTATTAATTATTTACCACGCGAGCGGATGTACAAATTATGATTGATATTGCGAATAAATTAATATTGTTATTACGAATATTATTCCGAAAAATTAAAAATAAACGATTTAATTAATTTCATAATTTGAAAATTTCGATGTTTCTGAATGTATGTCAAAGTAAATTGTAAAAAAAGAAAATAAAAAATATTTGTACAAAATAATTAACACGAAGAATCTAATTTTCACCGGATAAAATACATGTGTATATGTACATCAACTTTTTCAAGTATCCAATTAAGTTTCATAGACCAATATTTCATCTTCCCCATCGCAATAAAGTTACACGAAAACGATCGGATTTTTATCGTAATTTTCACGCTGCGTGGTGAAGCGAACGAATACGGCGAAGCAAAGCGCGCTACGTGGGTTTCTGATTTTTATTGGATATACGTTACCCTAGATCAACGTTCTACTGGAATCTATAGTACGGAATCGCGCGGCACGCCGCGCAATCCAAAGTTCCTTAAGATTTTTTTAACGATCCCGTGATTTTTTTCGCGCGACAAAACCGGTTCGTATAGCATCGTTCGTGATTTTCTTTTTTTATTTTTTAAATCGAAATAATTCGTGGAACAAATATCCATTTCACGTTTATTCGAATTCTACTTCATCGAATTTTTATGACATCGTGTTATAATCAACGATAATAAATTTTCTTCGAACTATGGAACGCGTAACGGTGATGAAATTTTTAGAAAAATAAACAAATATTTACTCGATATGTTTTTTTTTTCTTTAAATCGAATTAAATAAAAATTTTCGATAATAATAATACTGTGGAATTGGAGGAATGATCGTCCAAACGAATAAATCGAAATAAAAGGAGAATATAGTGTGGAAGAGGAAACAAATTTAAGAGGACAATAATTTTATACATTTTTATACTTGCAATAAAATAACGAGTGATGCATTGTTATAATAAAACACTTGAAACAAATGTAAACTTTTCAATTCTTATATTATGTAGTAAAATTTTATCAAAATTTGTTATTCCTCCAATATGCTTAAATATACATACGTAACGTACCTGAAGAGAATAATGCAACCACTGATTTCTTAAATATGCGGAATAGAATTATAAATCTCGCATAAACTCGTGTTTCGACCGTTCTCGTTCGACGACGAAAGCATACTAAACGCGCGACCTTAATAACGCTCGAATATATATTAGAAAAACAATCCATTCGATACGGGTAGAAATTTCAACGATTTATCGTTAATATTCCATAAATTGTTTCATCGGTCAGTATCAATGTTACTCTACTTAATATTTTTCATTTTTTAAAAAGTATCGTATTTTTTAAAATTTTTAGAATCTTTTTAAAAAATTTTTAAATTTTCTCTAGTTGCTTATTGATATTAATATAAATAAATATAGCAATAAATAATCGCCGAAGATTAATCAAGTAATTTTTTAACGAATAATAATAATAATAATAATAATAATAACAAATATAACTTTGCATTATACAAATATATTTTACTGTTCTATATTTTACTGTTCTATATTATATCGTTTATTTTTTTCTTTTTAATCGATGCACGATGTGTTTTAATTATTCGTATCACGAGCGTTAATTGGGCATCGCCTACGCTTTAATCATTAAAAAAAAAAAAAAAAGAAAGAAAATTTGCAAATCCGAGGCAAAAGTTCCATAATTGGATTTTCGAGTGGCCATGAGTCGTGGCATCTCCAGTGAAAACAACTCGCGAAATTCACTCGAGCGTCGCGATAATTAAAGGGAAAATACAGCTCGAGTTGGCGCGGTGCTAACATCAAATTAATCGTAACTCGTTCTCGATTCTGAGGCCGCGAATCTGACAAATCGTAACTTGATTGTAACCCGTCATAATTAATGCTTTAATCGCACTTTCTGCCCAGTAATTATCGAATTATGATCGCGATTCGATTTCGAGATCTTCGCGAATCTTCTTCCTCTTTTCCTTCCTCTTTTCGTCTTCGTTCGATCGAACCCGAAGATGATGCACACTTTCTTTATTGCGCAACGAAATAGTCGATCGTCTAGGGTCACGGTGAAGATAACCCGACGATAACATCCACCTTGACTCTCGAGACTTGACTTTCGTGCCCAAGAGTAATTTCTCCCTTGGTTCGCATACTTTTCGCTCTCTCGCCTACCTTCGCGGCACGTATGAGTGGATATCGAGTGCAAGCATACGCGTGATATACGATCAAGTTTCTTCTTCTTCTTCTTCTTCTTCCTTTTTTTCGAACTACGAATGTTAAAAAAGTCGGTAGCGCGCTTTAATCGCGGCTATTTTCCCTTATAAACGGAGAATTAACTTTTACACGCGCCACGAGAAACGAGGCGGGAGAGAACCTTTCGAATTTTTTGCGAGTCGTTACTTTCTTCGTGTGCCACGCTCGTTTCATCTATCGTCGTAGTAATGGTAACGTTGAAATTATTATACGTTGTGTCTAATGTAGTGTTGTATTGGTATTGTGTAATGACTATTATACTTTTATCGTTTATAGTTATGAAGTGCCGTAACGTTGAAACGTGTATTTACCCGTTATAAATGGTAATAGGTGTATCGTTTGTACCATGTTAATTACCTACATCTGCTACACTGTACATTATACTCAATTTATCGTGGAGTTTCTTGCGTGCGGCTCGTTGTAAAAAAATGTAACCACCGCGTCACCTGTTGGCTATCTTTTTCTGCTGCACTATCTCTTTTTTGCATCAAGAAACCTTTGACTTTATTTCCTATAAAAGTAGTTTTATCTACGTCTTATATATTCTTGGATCCATTCCAGTGAAATATTATTTCTTCTTCCCTTGTTTCGATTCATAAAAGTTCGAGGCGTATTATATACAATTGAATCAATCCTTCCAAATTCAAAACTCTGTCGAATTTTTACTTCTTTCGATATTCCAAATATTCGATATCCAATTCTATCCCATCTAAAAATAATTTCGAATAAAAATATATATATATATATATATTCTTAAAATTTATCTTAAATTTAAAGGAGCAATCACAATAACGATTTATCACCTTTAATTACAGACGTGGTCTCCGACCAGACACCAGCGTCATCCTTCTGGACACCCACTATTAAGACGGGCAACATCTTCACCGACGATACCACCAACTTCTTCCCCTCGAGTCATGGCCTGGTGCAAAGTCATCCGCCGACCGGTAACGTGTTTCGAAGTGGTTTCGGCGGGATCGACAATCTTGGCAGTCGGGGGGTGACTGTCAGACCACCAAGGACGAGACCCCTCGATTACAGCGAGCGATCCACGGCTGAATTGCGCCGAAATCCGGCGCTTTCCTCGCCGGACGAGTGTGCCAGAGCTTGCCGCGAGAACGAACCACCTAGGATATGCTATTACCATTTCACCCTCGAGTATTACACCGTCCTTGGGGCGTGAGTTCTTATTAATCATTCGACGAAATAAACTTATTGCCAAATAATGGATTACTTATGAATGAACGAAAGCGAAATTTTTATGAGTAAAGAGTAAATAGATTCGATTTTCTATGAGTTTCTATGATCAATGATTTTGCAGCGCGTGCCAAATTTGCACCCCTAACGCCACTAACGTGGTCTGGAGCGATTGTCAATGCGTGTTGGCAGATGGAGTGGAACGGGGTATTTTGACAGCGAACAGGATGATACCTGGGCCCAGTATCCAAGTCTGTCAAGGTGACAAAGTCGTGATCGACGTGGAGAATCACATCGAAGGTATGGAAGTTACCATTCATTGGCACGGCGTATGGCAGAGGGGCTCTCAATACTACGATGGCGTACCATTCGTGACACAGTGCCCCATTCAAGAGGGTAGCACCTTCAGGTATTTAATTATCAATCCGTCCAACATTTCTCCAAATTTCTAAATCGAATCAACAAATTGTCTTTTATTATAAAATTTTTATTATAAAAATAGGTACCAATGGACTGCTGGAAACGAAGGTACGCACTTCTGGCACGCCCACACAGGATTGCAGAAAATGGACGGTCTGTACGGAAGCATAGTGATACGTCAACCGCCTAGCAAAGATCCTAACAGCAATCTTTACGACTACGATCTCACTACCCATGTCGTTCTCATCAGCGACTGGTTCCATGAGAACGCGGCTGAACGTTTCCCCGGCCGGCTGGCGGTTAACACTGGCCAAGCGCCTGAAAGCGTGTTGATAAACGGAAAAGGCCAATTCAGGGTATGCGATTCGAATTTTACGTTTACTCCCGTTTCTCCTCGTCCCAGACGAATAATCTAATAAATTAATCCGCAATATCTCTTCCTTTTATTCTTTCCTCGTACGTACAATTGAATGTGCATTTATCTCTCTGCACGAGGCAGTATATCATTATTTGTTCGCGTTTGAAATAAATTGGACGCGTACTTCTTTACTTGAGACGTAACGTCAGCTTGGTTATATATATATATGAAGTAATAAGTATATAAGATGAGGAAACTGTATTATTAAAAGTACCGCGTTATCCCAACCACCGTGACACGTTCAGATAAATGAAGTTCTACTCCGTAATAAATCTTGGTCATGGCGCCAGTAGCCACGTACATATACCACAAACGACGAAGTTTAGGAGTTGGTCGAAGTTGGTCGAAGCTCGATCCTATTCCACTTTCAAACGATTTATAGTACGCTGGTCAGATTACGTGCATCTAGTGAAAGTGCGTGTAGATTCTCAACACTGGCTATTAACTTAAAGATACGATGGATATCGATTTTACAGAATGAAAAAAGAATTTAAAAATACCAGACATTCTTGTATTCATAAAGAGTAAAGGATAAAGAAATGTTCGACTCTAATTTCGAATCATCTCGTCAGACCGCACACATAAAAATTTTCATTCGCCATACTTCATCTCAAATCAAATCTCGATTTAAATCTTTGATTTAAAGAGATGCTCGAATCGAAACAAATCTAATAAACGAGGCTCGTCTCTGTCCGCAGGATCCCAACACCGGTTTCATGACGAACACGCCACTCGAGGTGTTCACCATAACTCCCGGTCGTCGTTATCGTTTTCGACTGATCAACTCGTTTGGATCGGTTTGTCCATCCCAGATCACGTTCGAAGGTCATTCCCTCACCATAATCGCGACCGACGGAGAGGCGGTGCAACCAGTCACAGTGGACACGATCATCTCGTTCTCTGGTAAAGAACGTTTTTCTTCAGCTTCTAAGCTTTTTTTTTTTTAAACATTCATCAAGATCGACGAGAAAAGGAAGGGGAGGCATGTCTTCCTCCATTCTCGGCATCAATCAATACAATTGCGCGTCGGTAAAATATCGCCTCGATATCTTAAAGTTAACGATGTTTTACCCTCTGATTTACAGGAGAAAGATACGACTTCGTGATAAACGCGGATCAACCGGTAGGCGCGTATTGGATCCAAGTTCGTTCACTGGGAGAATGTGGTATACCTCGTGCTCAACAGTTAGGTATATTGAGATATGCTCGTGGTCCGTACCAACCGACCACCACTGCGCCCACTTACGATTTTGGCCTTCCGCAGGGTGTTGTAAGTATAGTACAGTTGCGAGACGTTTTCCACCGTTTCAATATTTAGTAGCGGTAATTCCTTAAAGAAAGAACCGCGCCTTCGTTGAAACGCTTTCGCTTAATTGCTGGAATTCTTTGAATACGGTAGTTTAACCGAATTAGAAGAGTATCATTAACTGGATCGCGTATTTTCATCATTTTCTGCCAATCCTAAATTTTCTTTTTTTTTTTTTCCTTATTTTCAAGTCAATTGCAATTTTTAAAGAGATATTAAAAACAGATTTTGGAAATTAGAAGAATTAATTTCTATAATCTATATATAATAATGTATGAATCTTTTATAACGTATTAAGTTGTAAGAGTTAATAGGAATAAGGTATATTGTGGATAACGCAGAAATCGGTGAACTCTATATTACCAATAGTTGATAAAATCACAAAATTTCACTTACTTGTGCACAGGTATTGAATCCACTGGACGCGATCTGCAATCGTCAACGCGAGGACGCGATTTGCGTGAGCCAATTGAAGAATGCTCGTCAAATTGACCAAGGAATTCTCCAGCAGCGTCCAGACGTGAAGATATTCCTGCCATTCCGTTTCCTCTTCTACAGGCCAGAAGAAGTCTTCCAGCCGCAAACCTATAATCGATTCTTGGGTAAGCGATCTATTTCAAAATTACAGGTCATCTCTGTGGAGAGACACTGCCACGTAATCTCTCGCAAAGGATAGCTTCTTTTTACGCCACGATATGTCGCAAGCATACATTATCATTGAATCCATTAACCCTTCACCTCGTAACGTTTTCGTCACAAGCTTGATAAAGCGCGTAATTGAAAAATAATGCGAAGGATATCGACGATTTTAAATTAGTTTTCTTTAACTTTTATTTTGTATATCGTTGAAATTTGAAACGTTTTTCGATTAAATTCTAAGGCAAACGGGTTGAAATGGTAATTGAAACTCGTTCAAATCGAAACTTATATATCACGATTCGTGTCATTTCACCTTGTCTTCTCCACAGTCGCACCGACCGGAGATCACGTAATCTCTCTCGTCGATGAAATCTCGTTCACATTTCCGCCGGCGCCTCCGCTTTCGCAAATCGACGACATCCCGCCCGAACAGTTTTGCAATGGCGATAACAGGCCAGCCGACTGTGGCGCCAACTGCATGTGCACCCATCAGGTCGACATCCCGCACAACGCGGTCGTCGAAGTGGTCCTCGTCGACGAAGGTAAACCTGAAAAATGAGATTAACAGCGTCAGTAAAAAAAAAAAAAAAAAAAAAAGAATAAACTCATTATTATTTTCACATATTATTATTCCCACTCTTTGACCCGTCTTTTGAATTTCTTCCAGTCCAACAGCCGAATCTGTCTCATCCATTCCATTTACACGGATACGCTTTCAACGTGATCGGTATTGGCCGTTCCCCGGACAAAAATGTGAAAAAGATCAATCTGAAACACGCGTTGGATCTTGATAAGAGAGGTCTGCTCAACCGACAGTTCAATCTGCCACCTGCCAAGGACACCATCGCCGTACCTAATAATGGCTACGTCATTTTCCGATTCCGCGCTGATAATCCCGGTAATCGTATCCTCCCGCGTTTCACCTCATCCCCCTCTGTTGTATAAATACATTGCAACGATGATTGACCAACCAACTCTTCTCGTTTTCCAGGATACTGGTTGTTCCACTGCCACTTCCTCTTCCACATATTGATCGGAATGAATTTGATACTTCACGTCGGGACCCACGCCGATCTTCCCCCAATACCGCCAAATTTCCCCAGATGCGGGGACCACTTACCGACCATCACGCCGCCATCGCTGTCGCTCGACTCGTTTCACTGATCCGTCCCGAAAAAAAAAAAAAGAGAAAAAGAGGAAAGCTGAAAGAAAAAAAAAAAAAGCTGTCCAAAGCATACAATTATCTCATATAGCGTATTCCTGTAAAGTAGTCACACAGTATGCTGTAGCGAATGCTATTTCGTTAATCTTCCTCTTCGTCGGGTCGGTTCGTACACGTGGTAGTGTTCTAAGTGAATGAAAAGAGAGAGAGAAAGAGAGAGAGAGAGAGAGAGAGAGAAGACGGAGAAACAAGATCGCGTGTAATAGCGCGAAGGAGTACATGAGAGTGAGTCGTGATCCTCGAAATACGAGGAGGGGCGAGGAGCGATCGAGATGCAAGACAGAGTTTTTAATCGGATGTAACGTATACACACACATGAGCCGATACCCGCTTTTGGTGCCGCAATAGCGATACGAAAATAGCCAACAGCCGATATTTATTATGTCCTAGATGCTTTATCCAGCCACTTTGCGCGATCGAACCTCCATTTTCCTCCAATTAAATGATTTCGCGGTGAACGGTCACGTGGTGACCGATCCCCGACACGCGAGCGTTGTATAAAAGGCCAAATATAGTTTGGCCGATAGTTGAAACGTAACTAACTAATCCGTAACAATTGTGTAAATAATGAGTAGAGGATAGTCGTGTTACACGTTTTAACGAGACGCATTAACGGTGGGTGTTGTGTTATTCGGGATTAAATTAGCGCGGGGAACATTAATTATTTCGCGGAGATTGAGAACGCGGAGGTGGAGACCTTTCACCGCGAGATGAATTCGATCAGATGGCGATCGTTAGGGAGACTCTGTTTAAGGAAACTTGATCCGGATTTCGATCCGGATGATCGTGGCTCGAGCTAACGAATTGCCGCGATATTAAAACGCTTCGCCGTATCGAAATCCAGGTTCCTAAAGTGGCCTTAGTTAGGAAGGAAATTATTCTCTGCCCCTAAAATGGGCCGTGTGGCTTGTCGTTCTTGTCCTTGTCAATAATTTCAAGTAGTGCAATTAGGGTTATATAAAGTGGAAGAAAGGTAACATTTAGATTATTGCCTGATATGAAAAATATATATAAGGAAAAAAAAAAAGGAAAAAAAAAATATATAAAAAATATTCGTAGAGGATTAGGATCGAGGAGGGTCGTCAATTGTTGTAGCCGAGGTTGTAGATCCAAGAGTAACTTTTTTTTTATTGGCTCGATCGAATTTTTTTTTTTTTTTTTTTGGAAACGATTTTTAATTTCCATTATTTATTTCGCTCAATGTTAAAATTTCTCTCGAAAGGTGCAAACCTCGCGCGATCGATTCTCTCTGTGAATCGATTCTATTAATTTTGAGCATGGAACTCGATCAACTCGAGCTCTCGCTTTTATCCCGAGCTATTCCTTCTGAATGACGATCGATGGTATTTTATCGTTACGTAAGTAACTTATAATACAGCTGACATTGTTTCGCTGTCGTAGATTTATACTCGTTATAGTTTATTCATGGTGCCTCAATTTTTACTCTTCTTTTTTCTTTTTTCTTTTTTTTTTTTTTTTTTCTTTTCTTTATTCTATCTCACGAGATTGGAGTATATATGTTGAAAACAGTTTACTCGTAACTCACAATTTACAATGTTTGATGTCCGTTGAGCGATCGTGGCTCGGCGCAGCTGCATCGTCGAGAATCGAGCGCGATAGATGCACGTGCACCACGTCACGATACCCTCGCCGTTTTGTAGATAAAATCCTTCTATTTCACTTCGCTAAATACACGAGACGGAATCACACATTAAAACACGAAATACTCGATCGTGGCGATGCCATCACGAGATGAGCTGACGAGATGCCTTTAAAAATGCATTGTTTAAAAGTCTAAAAAAAAAAAATTTCTTCGCAAAAATTATATTTTCGCGAATCGTATCGAATAATAAGTAAAAATTTTATCGAGAATTGAAAGACTTTTAAAAATTTTTAAATGGAAGTGTATATCGTGATCATAAAATATTTTTTTTTTTTTTTCGTATAAGAAATGTTCCTAATATTGGAGATACTTCGTGGAATTTATTTCTATTATATAATTTATGGAAGAATTATTTTTGTTTCTATCACGAGCAACTAAGAACACTCTCTTCTATTAAAAAATTAAAAAAAACGTATACTGCCAATCATCACTTTCAAAATCTTCTTCATGAAATCGTATATTTTAATTGGACAGGTTTAGATTTCCTCGAACAAAGTTTCCTCTTAATTATTATTATTTATCTTAAAATCGTTGATTATAAAAAAAAAAGAAGGTATTCATTGTCAGAATCAATTCGAAATGATTGTTCTTCTAACATTCCTTCATTGCATTGTTTTATCTTTTTTGTTACAAATTCTTTTTTCTCTCTTTTCTTTTTTTTTTTTTTTTTTAACTTATTTATATATTTTTTCGACGAAATAAATGTACAGTTAAAACACTTTTGTAAGAGTATTAATCGGCGAAGATTATTCGCTGAATTCGTTTATTTTTTTATAACATGTATAATAAAAACTGTATTTTATATTTAACCGAGAAGAATTACAAAGTCGAGCTTTGTAACGATTATTTATTAAAAAAATGCCTAAGAGATTCAACAATTATTATTGTCCACATGGAGAGATGAGTTTTCGTGTTTTTTGTACAGGTAGTATTTAAGCGAGTAACTCGCGTATATTCCGTTATCAGATATACATAGATGTACATTTAATAATAAATTTGTTTTTAAAACTCTCTCTCTCTTCACTTCCTTCCTGGAAAACCTAGAAACCTCTTACTTGCACGGGATTCTCGTTCGAGTCTCTTTACCACCATTGCGCAACACGTGACAAGACGTTGACCCAACTTTCTTAAAAATCTGAGAACAACGGCCAAGCGTGAAACTAGGATACTGTTATCGTTAACGTTAACAAGTTCTGTGTTAAATGAAGTTGCAAAAATAGCGGTACTAGTCGAGCTCGTTCGATTAAACCAGGAAGAAAACAGTATGCTTAACCCGTTGATCTTTTCCGAATAATTAACCATGTGCAAGTGAACGAGTACAGAATTCTCGAAGAAGAGAATCGTGGATTCTCTTATTTCTTGTTTTCGAAATTGTCTTCCATTATTCTTTCAATTTTTTTTTTTTTTAAATTAAGTTTTAATTCAACTTCATTTCAATCATCCATTTCGACTAATTCGAATCGAAAAAAATTATTTAAGAACGTATCTTCGACTGGAAAGAAAGATTCTTAAATAATTCTAATTTCCCAAATTTACTCGATTTCTCGAATAAATTTCGAATAAATTTCAAAATGCTTCTTCGCTAATTCGTTAATTGATACAATTTTAATTTTTATTTTCACTTATACATATATCGTGCATATATTCAATATTATTCGCTTTTATTGAATTTCAGAAGAATTCTTCCTCGATTAATACAATTTTTATTTTCTATTATATACTATTTATATACTATATATATATATTTCTATTGTACTATATCGTTTATTTTTCAATGTCGTTACACTGTTTTACTCGCGTTCACCATTGCCAACAAATGAATAATAAAACTTAACAGTTTATTATCCGTGAATTTGAAACTCTAAAATGCGTTAACTGCACTTCGTAGTATAATGGAGGCTCGTATTCGTCCTCGGCGAAGTATTTAGTATGACAAAGCGAATAATGCGCGCGCGTCTTTACGTGACTGGACGTATTCATGAAACGACTAGTATGCAACACACCCTTGCAACAACCCAGGGTCGTACACTTTTACCGATAATTTCATCTCGGCGTTGAACGCGCACAAATTTATTGCATACAGAATAACTGCATTTCTAATATTTCAAAATGCCTTATTTTCCTCCAAGCCGAGTCACGCGAGCCATCTTTGCGTCTCATCTTGGCGTTCATTCACTTTTACATCCATTAAACGCACATTTCACAGAAGGCAATGTGTCAGGCGGAATTCAATTTGTAAAATCGAATTTCACGCAATGAGATGATGATAATATATTTTTTTTAAATTTAGCATCATAAAGTTTCCATTGGATGGATCCAGGTTGAATAAATGTATTCCATATTATTTTTAATTTTTCTTCTTTTTTTTTTTTACTGTATTTAAACACGTGTTTGTGACTCGTTGAACACGGAATGTTTCATTGAATTGTTACAATAAAAATTAATTTTCTAGGAATATTTCTTTTTTTTTTTTTTTTCCTTTAATTCTTTAGAACTTTTCTCGGATATTTTTCTCTACTTTCTTCTTGTACAAAATATAAATTTTGTCGCACGTAATACTTTTTATTTGGACGACACGAAACGATACAGGTATAGCAAGAATAATCGTTTCTGTAGATATACAATATCGTTGGTCACAAAGAATGATGATTTCTGATTATGTACAAAAGTTTCGTCTGTAATTTCGCTTAATCAAATACGATATTGCGCAAAATTGTAAAAGAAAAAAAAAAAGAAGATAGTACCTATATTTATGACTATCATATGATACATATACGATCTAGTTGAAAAACTTTCTCACATATGGAGCTATTAATAAATGGAATTGTCGATATCTCGATACTTGATATTATTATTCTCATCGTATAGAAATTTATTCATAAAGAAAGTTAATCAAATCTTGAATCTTGAATTAAAAAAAAAAAAAAAGTATCATAATCTTTTAATAACAGAAACAACACGTCTAAAAAGAAAAATAATAGAAAATTCAAATTATAAATAATTTTCACTTTGTCTTCATCACTCTCGTTCTTTCTTTCAAAACCGATTTAAAATTCAAATAATAATAAACCATCTTTAAATTTGATCTTTCTCTATTTAATAAAAAAAAAAAGAAAAAAAATCAGGATATTTCTATCGATGCATTAATATCAACTATCGAGGACGTATCAAATTAGATAAGTCAATCCTCAACGCGAAGCGAACATGGCCAAAGTGGCCAAGTGTCTATTATTCTTCGTTAAGGGGCTGTAATTAAGCGAATTATTGCGTCTCGCGTCCTTATGCTTTTATCTCGAGTCAAGGATCAACCATTGTCTACGCCTCTGTCCATGTAGTTCGTCTTTGAACAGCGTGAGCAATGACTCTATTGAATCTAGATACCCGTTACGCGCGGTTGCGTTGTTATAAAAGAGCTTGAATTATGCGTTCGAGACATCATAGGAAATAACAGTTCGTTCTATTCTTCCTTCCTTCCTTCCTTCCTTCCTTCCTTCCTTCCTTCCACCTTTTTGTTATTGTAAAAATTCTATGAATATTATTTCCCGGAATAATGGGAGCCGATGTTCGATGGCGGCCCTCTGTGATGATGATGATGCTTCTGGCCCGGACCCGAGTATCTGCTCCCGGGCCTCGAATGAACTATGGCGTAGTGGTCGCTGTTCGTCGATATCGACCTCGTCGAATTCATCGTAGATCCTCCGGAAGCGTATCCCTGCTTCCCGTTTAAGGAGTACCTGAACAAAGATCGTGATTCACTCTTTGAGCGTCGTTACTAAGAATAATCGCTTCGGTGACAATGCGTCGTTAGATCGAGCGTGTATTTGCGATTAGTCATTCCGGAGACGGGGAGAAAAAAGAAGAAGGGGAGAAAAAAGAAGAAGAAAAAAAAAAAAAAAAAAAGAAGAAGAATAGATCGAAAGCGATAAATGTTTTAAGAGTGCGACGCGTTTGGATTCCCTGTGTGAGTTGCGATTCCTAAGCGTGGCGTGTAATGGACATTTCTCGTTTTCTCGTAAATTATTATCGTCGTAATTTTTCATAAATTATCATCGAACAGTATTTTACTCTGTTAAAAATATCCTTTCGTACGAGGGAGAGAAAAGAAAAGAATATTAATTTTTATCGAAAAATAATTCATCCTCGATGTATCTTCCAAATGGTCGATGAACTCACGTGAGTTACTATTTCCTATTATTTCTTACCGACCCAACCCCTATCCAAGAAATCCACCCATTTCATTACCGCGTTTCAATCAATTCGAAGCACGCACATTCTCCCAAAGGATCCCCGTTTTCCAAACATCTCAATTAACCGGGTACGCGCTAACAGGGAATCTCATATTCGCCTGCGGGTAATTACAAGTCGAAGTTTCAAGGAATCTTTGGTTCGTGATCGAAGTTACGATCGGTTTTCCCCTCCCCACCTCCCTGTGAGAAAGAAAGACGAAAATAAAAGAAGAAAGAAAAGTCAAAACCTCGAGCCGTATTGGGATCCGTGCCAGCTACGATAGGGATCGTAGTCCTCGATAATCGATGGCTCCTTCTCGATAATGTCCGTCCTGGTGCAGCTGCAGGTCATCGCCGAGCAGAGGAATATATTGATTATCAGCATGATGAGGAACAGGATGCCGAGAGCTACCGCCAGCCATAACAGCCATACAGGGTGAACGCTGCCATCCTCGTACAATGACTGAACCGCTGGAAAATCAACCGGTGTATGTTAACAACCGAGACTCTCTCCCTCTCTCTCTCTCTCTCTTGCTTTACGATCGAATACAGTGTGCATCTCTTTAAGCTGCGCGCAGATTGGCAATCGCTCGAAACATTGTATATCTTATAACCCGATGCCACGTAAGATCGTACAATTTTGACATAGATAGCAATTTTCCTGGAATATTCAAGCATATATATATATATATATATATACATATATTTTATTTGACATGAATTTAATATATTTCGATCACGAGTGAAGTTAATGCAATTAATCCCTTGCTACGTCACCGTCGATACATTAACCATACGTTGCATCACGATACACTGACACGTGTACGTTAAATTTTAACATAGAGTGCATCGTCTATCAATTTCAATTTCGTGGCAAGCATGTACGGTAATCATAATCGCTCGAGAGGTGAATAGATTAACGGACACATTTTGACTAACCCAACGCGATCGAATTCTTCCACGTTTTGCAACAACAATTTACCCTAATCGATTAACAAGAAAAAAAAAAAAAAGAAAAAGAAAAATTATAGACAGATATTCATTCTTCGCAAGTTCACTTCACGGATCACTTAAAGGGTTAATACACGCACATATCGCTATCCTCCGTCGTTATCGAGATACGACGACAGCTAGCCAGGTCCAATGGGCTATCGCGATACAATGTTCCCCCGAGGCTGATCGTATCCCAGCCTGTACGCAGCTTCGGAAAATAGAGAATTACCCGCGCCGGCTAATTAATTCGAGCGCGCGGGGGTTAAAAGTTCAGATAGGCAGGTTTAATCACGTAGCCGTTGGTTGGTATAGGAGGTGAGCCAGGAGTAAAAGCAGGAAGCGGGGTATGAAAAGTACTGGTGCGATATTTACACGGCGTTTGACCAGGGTTAAGAACGAACACGCTCGTGCCGGCCAGAAGCACTCCTTCCTCGCCGCTCACGCTTTGCCTATTAATTAAGGACGCTCCCTTTATATCTTCCTCGTTATCGTCGTCGCAGACCGGGATACCGCAGCTTCCTGGATGGAGGGGAAAAAGAAAAAGAAAAAAAAAAGGATAAACCATTTACGTTTCACCTTTTATCTTCCACGCGTTATTTACCGTTCGCTCGACCGGAGAAGCGTTTTCAAATCTCTCTCTCTCTCTCTCTCTCTTTCTTTTTTTCTCTTCTGGGCCAAGAAGGAAGTGTAATCGAACGTAACCGACACGAGATACAAAGTGGTCGGTACCGTTCGAACATACCCATAGAGTCCCGAGGAAGAGAGTATCGAGAGTATGTTGAGGAAAAGTAGCACATCTCGTTTCTTCTATGAAACCATGTTTATTCAGAGATAGTGGTATATTTGCTTTGTCGTTCGAAATTGATCGACTCGAAAGATTATACTTGAGAAGAAAACATGTTACAATGTATACAGAAACGGTTTTTATATATATCGACGATTGACCATCTTCCTTCCAACCGCACACCTGTGCTCATCGCACAAGTGCGATAAATATATCCTCATTGGAATATAATAGGTAACGTATTAATTGCGTTCGTTTCTTGGAAAATGTATATTTTCCTCGAACCTCGGAAGGAAGCGTGTTATTTTCTCTTAAGACGAATTACGTGTAACGAGGCACGTGCTACTTCTCGCGCGACACACGTTGAAATGTTAATTGGCGGCTAAGTTGAACGGCACATTGGACGACCCAGATTTGAAACCGGGGTCGTAATTGGGAGTCGTTCAACGAATCGGTTTACCTCTGCATACGGCGATGTCGCATTGAAAATGCACCTGCGTACTATCGGAGAACCGGAACATCGAGAACAATGTCGCATCCGCCAGGCCGGTGTTTCGATCGTAGATGAATTTCGTCATCACCTGAGCCTTTACGGGACACCTTTGTCATGGAAAACGGAGGAGGATTACGCAATTCGGTATTATCGCGATCGAGCCGTGACAATTCGAATCGCGCAAAATCTATATCTGGATTACATAAATCTTCGACAATAATACGAATTATTGCGTAACCGGATTGTCACCTTATCCTTTACTGTAAGAAATATACTGAAATATTAGGAATTACCATCTCAATAATAGAATAGAAATAGCAAAAGAGGAATCCGTTTTGATTAACAAACGAAAATAAAATAAATACTTTCGAAGAGGAATCAGGTAAAAATAAAATTTATCTAACTTAAAATAATATCCAATCTAAAATCAGAAATATTATATTTCCAGTGAAATCGAATACCAACACTGTGTCAAATTTTTATGAAAAAAAAAGGAAAATTTCTCTTCGAGGAAAGTCCAAAGATGGATGGCAATTCCAAATACAACTACCAATAATATACTTTAACTTTTGAAAATGGAACTTCCATCGACTCGAAAGAGGGCGAATATTATGATAAAACCTACCCTTTATCGTCGATCAGCTGGACACTGGAGTTACGTTTATTAAACGCGAAGCACGACTTCACTTTGATCCCGTACATACCTGAAACCCATAGAAAGATGGATGAGTGCGTGTCACATGGGAGCGGCGAGTTCGCGCGTTTACGCGCGCTCGTTAATTCCAATTAAACGCAAAGGGGGTAAAGATCGGGCGAGAGGACGCCGTGTACCAACCATCTGGTCGCGAGATCTCAGCACGCAAAGTGTAGTTGTGACCATAAATAGCCTCTTGCACTTTGTGGCCTCCGTCCAAAAGGCGCAACGATACAAGCGAGGTCTCGTTCCTGCGCAGGAAGGATAAGAAGAAGAAGAAGAAAATTATCGCGTGTCGTTACGCGTTAAGATCTCCCCTTCCCCCTCTCTCGCATATAATCGCGAGATTTAATATTAATAAACTGTTGTTATATGTACTTGGCGTTTTTGAATCCAGCTTTTCCGCACGTGATCACGTAAAATTTATCGTCAGCCAGCTCTAAGGTCTTGTGTATCCTTACCGCGATGGGGATGGACCGTTCCTCGGTGTCCTGCGAAGAATTACAACAGGGATTAAGAGAGAAATTTGCTCGCGACCGTTTTGAAGAAACCGTTTTGGACGATTATCTCGGGTTGATATCGCGGAAATAACAAGAATCGAACAAGGTATCCTTTATTCGATTACGTTTCTGATATTATCGGGATTCATAAGAGTGGTTTTACAACATGTTCCCTCGTATCTAAGGGTATCTCGGGGATTATTAAGTTGAGAGACGCGAGAATTATTGGCCATTATTTTATCCGATGTTATTTCGCGAAAGAATTTGAATTTGATTCTTTGATTCTTCGTTGGGATTTGCCCGTGAGAGGGAGAGAATTCAATGTAAGAATAATTGCTTAATACTCCGTAGATTTAATATTTTTGTTTGTTAAAAAAAAAATTTGCTCATTATTTTATAACAATTTAAGATTCATTCCTTTTTATGGCTATTTCCATTTCAGAAAATCTGCCATATGTCGCAGGAAGTGAGGTTCAGGCGTCGAAAAAGTGGCTGACAGATCATAAATGATGATTTAGTAAAAACGTAAAAAGCGAGACTTTATTACATTCTCCATCATTATCAATCAAAATCTTCATTATTATCAGTGTGATGCGACGATCGTATAACGAGTAAGTCACCCAACGACCTTTCCTTCTCTCCTGTCGGCCGAATGACTGTACGGAAATACGCGGTTGTGGACGCGTGTAAAGTTTGTTTTAAACCGTACTCCCGAGACGAACACGGTCCAACACTTGCCAGACAAATCTCGTATATATTATCCGTATATATTATCGAGTTTTTAATCAAAGAAATGGAGGGGATAACTTACGTTATTTACCAAGACGCCGCAGTAATCCGGGGAACCTTTGGGCGCGAGAAGATTGATGGCCAACGTCGCGTGCGTCGACCCGTTTCCGGGCGCCATGCATTGCGGCGTTCGAAAATCTCTCGCGTGGACGGCGCCCACGAAACTCTGATTTAGGTTCACTCGTATCGTCATATGACCGGACTTGCATGTCGCTGTGACCGTCGGTTGAAACTCGGTGTCCAATAATTGGCCGGTGACCTGTGATCGAAACGAAAATCACTTCATCTTACTTGCGTAAGAAAAAACGTTTATCGTCGTTCGAAAATTCTTGTCGAATTGCTGATATTTTTTTTTTCGAGGATATTAAATTAGATTTTATTATTTTTGAAATTTTGTTCTTTTGAATAATCGTTTATCGTTCAAAGTATTTCTCTCTCTTTTTTCTTTTTCAAGAGTTTACTTATATTACTTCTATTTCAGAAGAATTGCGATATTCTCTTTTCTGAGAACACCATCATTACTCTCTCTGCTCGTAATGATTACATTTTTCTATCGCGGAAAACGGCCGAGAGAGTTGCAGAGAGTTTATATTTAAACTCTCGAAAATGGGGAATTTAGATTTGAACAAGGTCAACTATCGTAATTCTCGTCCACGATATTTTCAATAATTATTATTCCAGTCTACCACAGAAGTATCCTCAAGCTCGTTACAGAGATAAGGATCGAAAAATCCGCAAAATAATGAATATTAAAATACCTAGGTAGGTATACATTCGTGGTGCTCGATTTTCGATCGGCGAGGGTACACCGATAGAGTACGCCTCTTTGTACGTAAAACCGCTTATATCGAAACCGAGGAGGGGGAGGGAGGGGGATATCGGGGTCCGGATCATGGGAATTCGAAAAAGAGGGCTGAAAAAAAAAAAAGTGGACCAAGCCGCAATTAATATTAACATACCCGGCTAATTAGTCTGCCAACTTTAATTATACTCGGTTAATTGCCCCTTGGCCTTTAAAAGCTCGCATACTCGATCGTCCTTCCTTCGTCTCGCGGCTATAAATTATTTAATTAATTACAATCGGCCAATGGAATCCCGGTGGAAAATCGTGCACCAGATATATACACATATATACGTGTAACGTGGAACGATCGAAATTCGAAATACGGTTTTCGCGCGATCGTGAGTTTTCGACGTGGTGGACGAAAGAACGGTGATATTTTCTCGGGCCAATCGCTAAACTTAATGCCCAAGTAAACTTGGACCGGTCTGGGCGGTAGCTATCGACCCACGCTAACTTTCAATTTCATGTGGCTTCGCCACTATGGTATATACATGCCAGTGTGTATAGCCATGTACATCACCGCTCAAAAGTATCCAGTCGCACGACTATGTGTGCATATAATATATATAAAATAATATTCACGATTACTGTATCCGTTATTTATATATATTTTGTTTTAACTGTTCAACTATTTGCATTGGATAATATGAAAAATATTATGAAAAAATTATATATTATGAAATGACACGTTGTGTAAGTAATAAAAAATAGAAATACGTATCATACGTAATCCTGATATTCTTCATTAACAAATTTTAAATCATTCACGAAGAGATAATTAATTTTGTTTCTTTTCAATATTGATTAAAAAAATTGTTGCCACAAGTCCATCCAAAATATATATACGGATAGTATCGCATTCATCCGCACAACGTATGTACCGGACTCTCGTATCCTGGATGGATATACGCCAACGATAAAATTGGTCCGAGGAGAGTTGCCACCGCGACGAGGAGGCATGGTCGAGTCTCTTGGACGCGAGACAAAGGTCTGGAACGTAGGCGGTCGCAAGGCCAGAATGGTCCTAAATGCTTGAGTGGCCTCTCTTCTCTCAAGAATGAGAGAAGGATCAGACGTGTTGGGTTACAGAAAGGGATTCCTTCTCTCGTCGGACGGCTAATCGATTATGAGAACACGACATGGTAACGTATATGAGCGTCCTTGCCAGTTGCTCCTTTTTCCCCTCTCCCTTCTGCGTGCCTCGCGCGTATCCTCGTTTCCCATCTATTCTATTATCCGTGGAACACCCTTTATCCCTCCCTCTCTCTCTCTCTCTCTCTCTATCTCTCTCGATGATGACGAATGACAGGCGTAGCCATCTCTTTGCTTCGAATGGAAGATTTCTCGATGGACTTTTTATCGATAATCACGAAACGAAAACAAGTGGAAAGAAATATGGAAATTAAACGAATGACACTCTATCTAATAATCACGTACACGGGATAAATATTTTTCCATTCCGCAATATTAGCCTTTCGCGTTAACACGATCCATTTAGACCATTAGCAATTCTCGTAACATCGCCCGCTTCTGTTTTCTCAACCGCTTACGACGACAATTTTTCGCGCGCAAAGTTTCGTTATAGTTCGTTGCACGTTCAGCCTAGTTATCCATTTGGCTCGCCACTATATAAACCGCAATCGAGTTAACCACACGGCTCCACAACGGGTCCACGCGACTCGTGACTACTCGAAAAAGGAATGTACTAATTATAGCCCGGTCGTGAGCAGAAAAATCCTCAGGCTTTGCGTAATCGACGCTAGCCAGCGACGGAGCCAATTAAGCGAATGAACCTCAATGAAAAAGGGAAAAGAGATCGCGAGGATGCTCGAGGGCATCGCTGGCATCGAGGGACACGTAGATCGTTGGTTGAATGGGAATGGAGGGGAAAAAAAGGAAAAAAAGAAAAAAAAAAAAGAAACGATCTTTTCTAATTACCACCAATCACATAACAGACACGTAACGTAATTACTGTGATTCACAATTGCTGGGCGGATCGCATAGGCACGCAACATTTGATACGGCACGAAATCCGTTATTCCCTCTCTTATAGGTTAACGCAGGAGATCGCTGTCGCGTGCTCGACGTTAATAGATGTCGACGTTGTCGCGATCATCCTTCCCTTCTAAACTACAGATCACTGAACTTTCCAACTATGGATCGAGAAAATACGTATAAAAACCACGTATAAATAAGTTGTTCTTCCACGATACGAATATAGATAAAACCTAGCGATCGAATTGTAATGTAATTGCAAGTTCCTTGACCTTGAACAAACGATACGACTTCTCACCGACGATGACGGTGACGCCCATTTCGTCGTGCATCTCGTCACGCGATTGAATATATTGAAGTAATTCCCAAATATAAAATAGCCATTTTATTAACATTGGAAATAAATTCTGACTTTTCATAAATGGTCGAGGCTATTAAAGATTATGTCAACCCATAAATGGGATGTTTAATGGATACTATCCTTCCCTTCCATACTTGATTTATCGACGCGAGTTACCTTATTGCTTTATTACTATTGGATATAAATTTCTCGTCATTTTTTTCCCTATCAATGTCAATTCATCACGAAATAGATTCTTCGATAGCCACACTATACTTCTCCTTCGCGCAACTGGAAAGAAAATGCATTTAACACACGCCCTCTTCGACGAACGAGTGACGCGATCGATCGCGAATCACAATATACAATATCCTTGCTACGAGTGTCGAGGGAACAGAGTGGGCATATATAATGAAGAAGGACAACGACGACGACAACGACGACGACGGTGACATCACGAGAACCGGCCGCTTACATAAACGAAAGTTTAAACGCGGCCCAGGGATTGGGGAGCGTGTTCCTCGGATAATATCGTTGCGTCGCGAATTTCACCGGGGAAACGTATGAGAGAAGAGAGGAGGGGAAGGGTTGTGGAACGGATCACGGGTCGATGTAACCCGCTAACGAGGGATTTTACTCGTCGACGGGGAAAGGAACAATTAGCCGGCGCGGACGCGCGACGACCGGTCACGGAATAGAATAATTCATGTACAAGGAACTGTGGCGGACAAGTGGCCACTTAGTAATTCGCTACGATAGAATGTACACTATCGGCAATCGGCCTCGCCGTCGATAAATCACCCATTTTTTACGTTTTCGTGTGTCGTGGTGTGCATGGAGCCGTGCGCAATCGAGTGTACACGGTGTTCCCTTTAACCCCTACGAAGTACTCTCAGCATCGCTCTTTAGCAATGAAGCTGTTGAAAAGGAGCTGTCCTCGGTAAAGGGATATAAGGGTCAAGTCTCTTTTTAAATGGGATCGATTTAATTCTTTCGAAGGGAAGACGATGTGTATCTCATGTATATGCGAGTTATTTTGTTACATTCCTATTATTGATCGATCATAAATCGATCAAACGCACTCGCATTCTTGATGATATCCTGAAAGAAAAAGAGATAAAGATTGAAGAGAGAGAGAAAAAATCTAGATCAAGATGCAGGCTGTTAATTCTTATAAAACAGTTACTCAGCTATTTTAATATCGAGAATCATTAGTCCAGAAGATATTTCAACTTCGATCCTTTTATAGGAGGGAATGATTACCCGCATCGATTACAGTATATTAAAAATTTTAAACATATGCATAAATTAATACCTCTCAATATCTCTTTATAACTTTTTGCTTATTCCACAAGCAATTTATTTCACGTACGATCTCCACATATTTCAATTACGAAATCAAATACACGGGCCACGGACACAAGGCAATATTATCGCAGTAAAATAAATTTTTGATCCGATCTCGATCCTCGGCGACGCATCCAAGTTAAAAGGAAACACCCTGTACGTATCGGTGTGCACAGAGACGCGTGTGCTCTATGCGCGAATTTTACGCGTGGATACCGGCAATGTATCAAGATTTAATCCGACCTCCTTGTGGCCGCAATGTTTCAACACATTCCGATAGTACACACCCATAGGCGAAGTATGCGAGCCGCCACGAACGAGGGCGGAATAAATAGTATCGGGTGCGGTGAAGCGGCTTGGGAACATTTTTCGGCTGCGAGTGAAATATATTGGCGGACTTATCGAAACGTTCGGACATACGCGAGCCCTCGCTTCGCCTCGCTATCGTGGTTTTATTAAATACGCGTATTACAGGGTTGGAGGTTGCCTCGCCTCTAAACTTCGTTCGAAACTTCTGCCTTGTCGGAGATAAAACCACTTGGAAAGTATAGCTTTCGCGTTCGCCTCTTTGGATAGGGGCGCGGTTTATCAGCATTTCAGATTTCTTTTTATCGTTGCTTCGAACGAAGTGTAAGTCGGTTGTCGATGAACAATTTCGTTCCAAGCTTGAGGAAAGGAAATTTAACGCTAAGAGGTTTCGGTACCGTTTAAATTATTTTTTAAACCTTTATTT